CATCACTTGCGGTATGGACTACGTCATTATTACAGAGAAAAGTCGGTTTAATGCTTTGATTTCAAAATGTGTTCGTATTATAAAAAAAGAAAATAGTTAACCTAACACAGAAATAGATTCACACAAATATCGAAAACACTAGTAAAATATGTATGCATGCGTACCGGTTCTTTTAGTAATGACTGTACTGCAATAATATTTAAAATATTTTACCTATATATTTTCATTAATATAAACGGAATGAATCTATTTATTTTAACAATATTGCAAAAGCATCATATAGATGGTGCATTATAACATGCCTACAGACAGTAGCAAAATCGGTGTTCAATTACAGAGAAACAAGAGATGATAATACCGAAAGTAACATATTTGTAATTACGAAAAGAATAATAAACGTGGTTGAAAATATAAAAATAAATTTATAAACGTATTTATGAATAATAATAATAATGGATATATTATGAAGAGATTATATTACTCGTTTATAACTATCGCCTCTCTGAAGTAATTGCTCTGTCTCCAAGCGAACTGACGGGTACCACGGAAAAAGATCATTAATAACTGTCAGTAATTAATTAACAATGACTATTCTGCTCAATCACGAAGTTCAAGACTATGACGTATTCCTCCGCGAGAATACACAATTGCGAAAGATGCTGTATTCGATGTGAAAGTGAATGTTTGCTGATATATTAAACACTCGCTGAAGTTAATATTTTGAACTCGGCCAAAAGGTTAGAGAACAATTCTCTGAATTTGAACTGTTCTGTTTGAAAAGAACAATTTGAATCCAAAATAGACTGTAATAAAGAGTATAACATTCTCCGCAATGTCGTATCATCTTAACAGCGTGTATATATGTTTTGAACTTCGCAATTGAGATTAACAATTGTCAACAACAGATTGAACAGTAACACAAGATTATAAGATCAGTGTTCATGGCGAAGACCAGTCTTGAATGATCTTTAGCTAAAACGTGGCCAGAACCTTTTCCATTCTTTATGTTTTGAAACAACACATAATCAATGAGAGTTCAACGAGAATAATTCAAAGAATGGGATGATGTGAATTTTGAACAAGGAAATACACGTAAAAATCGAATGAGATACGTCCTGTCTTTATTATGTAACGGTCGCACATAAACACATAATATTATAAATAACTAAACATACACAACTTTTTAAATTAATCAGCAGGTCCAGCTACATTATAATATCCGGTGGCTAATAATTAAAATTGGCATTTTTTTGGCGTTTTCCTCAAGCGATAATCAAAATGCGACGTTTACGGATAGTGCTTTGGTTGTTGCGGGGAGAACAAGTGCAAAAGAATTCAAATTTTTATCATTGTATTCTGTGCCTTGTTTTTTCTTCACACTCTGTCTTTTCTAAAGGGTTCGCTCGTTTACGTATACGATGTTGGTTGTAGGTGGTAAAATGCTCAAAATTAAATCAAATGATTAAAAGCGACTTTTTATTTTTTATTTCTAGAAATATCTAGAATAAACTTATTTTATACTTATCTATAGTTCATTTCATATTATTACACTAATTTATTAAAAATGATTTGTCATTATAAAACATACAAAACGATTTTTTTGAAGTCACAATACCCAATATTTATAAAATAATAAAACATAATAATGTATTCTGAAATTAATGAAAAATTAATGTTATTATTTTTAGTCTTAACCGACTATTTAAATGTAATAAATACAGCTTATATTTTTCAAACGGAAACAAGAACCTAATAATCTACAACAATAATTATAAATATTAATAAGCTCGCCGAGGAATTGTCGTGAGCGTATCGAAACATATCATATCAGGGTGTGTCGAGTGTAACTTTAACGGTCGAAGCCGCTAATGGAAAGCTAGTACATTATATATATAGTTTCTTAGTTTTTGTAACAAAGAAAAACGATATGTTAATATTCATACCTAACAACAACAAATAAAAATAGATATCGTATTGCAATTATTTTTAATATACTTTTCATGTATACAGTTACACCGTTACTATATTTATACATTTGACAATATAACCTTTCAAAATAATCAAAAAACGTTTGTATAGATATTCTTGTGCTAACATAAAACTAATGCCACAGCGGAAGAGGCTCACCAATACAGCAAGCTTTCAATCAGATAGTATAAATTATAAATGTCATGATTCGACTAGAAAACTATGTATTATGTTGAACTGAGCCATTCAGTCAAAGGACTTGTCTTACCAATATGTCGTTTTAAATTTATAAATGACAGCCCATGTATGAAATATAAATCAACGAATGACAAAATATAAACATGAATTATTATTAACGCATATGTAAATATTATCATTAAGCAACAGGTTTTGATATTTAAAATATGTGATTTGAGCTAAACACGTCAGTAAAAAACAACTTTAATAGTATATATTATACTTAATTTGCAGCCCTAAATATACAAAAACATTATAAAGTAATCCTAACTTTACTTCAAAATGGTCAACAGCACATCAGAGTGTCTGAAGTCTGTTTAATTTTGTTAACCGGTTGTAAGCCTTAATAATGTTGATTAATCTTAAAAATTTTCGTATAATAAAATAACATTTTGTGATGAATTGATGTGCTGCTGCGTTCAATGAAAAGTTAAAGAACCGACAAAAAAGGGACTGAAGCTCAATAAGCGAAAAAATCAAGTGACAATGTGTTAAATAAACTATTTTTTAACACCTTTGCTCGTAAAGCTGATGTAATTCCTCCGGTTTTAAATATGTAAAGCGGGTCATAAAAAACGCGTGTGTTACCATAGCAAATAGTTAATTATAGTCCATACAAATTCCATAACAGTATTATTTGCCATTTCGCGCGCTGTTGCTATTCAAATTTCGTACTAATCGCCGCGCGGCGCCAGTCAGTAGGCAGCGGTAGCGCGCTGTTAAAATGCCAGGAAAGCAACAGTGTACATTCACAGATTGAGTTTATTTAATGATTTTTTTTTCTGTTTCCTCGCAAATGTGTTAAAAAACGTCGTACGATATACGTGAGTATTGGTTATAACATGCTCGGCTCAATTACGCCCTCGGCTTCGGCTCGGGCTGAAATTCCGCCTCGCATGTTATAACCATCATAACGCACTAATATCGTAATGTACTATAACGCTATGACACGTTTGCTGAGCAAATTAAAACTAAAAATATTGAAGCGAACTGGTAGTAAACTTGCCAGTTTAGAAAAAGTTTAATTCTTGATTTAAATTAAAAATAATATAGGTAAAGATTCCTAATAAATAACTTTATTTAGATTTATTTTCAATATTTGATATCTTTTTAAATTAATATTTAAATCACAAAAATCCAAATCGCATATGACAGAGTGTGAGATAAGGCCGGTAAAATTTAAAATTTAGTATGCCAATTTCACATTTAACAATGTAATGACGAAACGAATAAATTTCATAATTACACTTAGAATTTTGAATCCGATTCGAACACATCCAGAATACTCAGTACTACTCCACTATAAATACAAACCATTCCACAATGTGTAAAAGCCTATAGATCAGTGGGATATCTGTAAAATGTTTAAATTAATAAAGCAACTACTAGTTCTTGTTAAATAATATTCATTTGTAGTGGACTTAAAAATAAATCATTGATCAAAATTTGCTCTATTCATCTTACCTGAACATCCTTGAATTGACATGATTTAGAGTTAATAATATTTTTTATTATAATAATTTACTGTACTGCTGTTTCTAGCCTAGAGCTGAATTTTTCTGTTGCTTTTTATGTTATTATTTTATATTAGAAATGAATTTATTCAATCGTGATAAAAGACTAAACCCTTTGATTATAAAAGACCCAATTCATTTCTTTTCAAGAAGTTTAGGCATATCCAATTGTCTGATCACTACAATGAAACTGTTGTAATAATTATAAAAATAATGCTGAAGTTATAACATGCTATTGGCGAAAAAGAAAAAGGGATGCATGCTCACTCTAGTGTAAAGCAGACCCTTGTGCGATTTAAAAGGGTATGAATCTACGTAATAAGCGATCGGATGTGACGTGGGGAGCAACGGAAAAGGAAAACACGCCGCAATAAAACCGATGTGTTGGAAAAAATGCTAATTTTAAACCATGGCAAACCTGCAATTGTTAAGAATCAATGAAAATTATTTTACAATTATATAAAAATCGATGCGGCATTCCGTCATCGTCAGGTATAATAAACACATCGCCGTTATGTCTTTAGGGAAGATGTTGATTGATTCCAAACATTCAATCAACAATTTATCTGTAATAAATATTAATAGGTGATCATTGAGATATGTGAAAATATTCAATCACTCTCTTCCCAATAGATGTCGTTTTTATTTATTAGTTAGATATCAATACATGTTTTATTGTTTCTAAATATATTTGTTGATAGGCACCAATGGGCATATAACTGAGTATTTGAATATATCACAAGAAACAAATAGGATGATTATATTCGCATATATTTTCAAGCGTCTTGATTCAAAATCTCGTATTTTGAATCAAGACGCTTGAAAATATACAATATGAGAGAAAGCTCCATCAAAGACTATTTTGGTAATTTACACTGTGTTCTCATTAAAAACGAATTCCAATTTCGACACTAACCATATAATATCAGCTCATTACTAACTGATCGAACCCATTATTACACCCGTGTTAATCAATATATTCCAATTTTTACCAAATAAATTCAAGTAATCATAGCTTTTTTTGTAATATTACTCCAGATTTGGGGAACATAAAGTTGGGATTTTATTTTATGACATTGTTTATGATCGCTTAGGTGAGCAAAGTATCCCTTCTTTCACCAGATCAACCGACTACTTGAAAAATTGTTGTTATGCCTTTTGGTCACAGTAGGTATTTAGTGTTTTCGTATGATCCAAAATATTGCCCACCTAGATATTGCCTATAAAAGACTAAGGTTTTAAAAGTAAATGGTTGGCTGGAATTCGAAAGCGAGAACCTACCTTGTTATGTGCTGGTGGTAGATGACATGTACTGTCAGAAGCAAATTCATCAGATGAAGGCCCTGCAGTAAATGTTGACGATTGTGAAGAACCCGGTGAGATACGTCCGTCGGATAAAGGCAAACGTTGCTCTTGTACGCAAGCCAGTCTAGAATAATTAACGACAACATTTCTTTACATTGTCTAGTGAACCATCATAATTTCATTTGTTTTGACAATTAGATAATGTAGATGTTATGATATGAGGATTATTTTCTTTTTACTGTAAACTTATAAAATAATTATAAATTGCTTGCCTTTTAAGAGTGACTAAAGTGCCTGTTAGTTTCTTACAGCGACGTAAAGCCAATTCAAGTCGTTCGGGTTCCTCTTCCAGCATCTTTTCTTTACGCACCACCTGAAATAATAAGAAATAACAGAATCAAATATAATAATATCAGGCTGCTTTTAAAAAGAGTAATCACTACAGATACCGGGAATTATTATTCCCATTAGTAAAATATCTATCAAGAACTATTAAAGCAAAATATTTTTTTATTATTACTTCTAATATAAATGCAAGCTGTTATATAATTTACGAATCCAGCAATAAACGTGTGATTGCAGTTGACCACACACATTAATTCCTCTCCATCCAAAGTTTGTCTGGGAAAAATAGCTTTCAGCGATAAGACCGCCATTTGTTACTTTGATGTATTGTTTTGTTTGATAAGTTTATGAAGATACCTGTGGTGTTAACAATAATGTGTTATTATTATTATTAATAATTTATTCACTTTTCTGATTATGATTATCTGTGCTATTCTATTAAAACAGCCTCGAAAACAGCGCTATCACGTTATAGAGCTACAGTGAAATAAAACCTTTATTACCTTTTTTAGTATAAAGACTATGAGGAGACGTAGGTATTTCCACGAAAGCTTTTCTTTATAAAAATCATATCACATGAAACTTTGAATTGGAATTTCTGATCCGGACACCGAATATGGGTTTGCCACATTCGATTTCCCGATACGTGCGACCTATTTAAACGGGTATGATATTTGTATGCCTAAGTGGACCTATGCCGAGTTTAGATACTCAGTTTTATATATTTGATTGATACTCGGGACGGGGATACCTCTGTTCTAATTATATGGCATTGAACCGCGTGGGGCGGGGCGGGCTACATAAAATTTTAGCATGATTTGTATTTCTATTTTATGGTATAATTTTTGTATTTGTATATTAATTAGTATTTTTGTATATTTTATAGTAAGATATATCTCGGATAAATAAAAAAGCGTACATATGGCAGGTGTATAAAACGTTTATTTTTATTTATTAATTATTGTACACTTTTCAATTTCCAATGTTGAATTTAAATAAAAAGTTGACACCATTATTTGTGACTTTTAAATAATAAAGGAAACATTAGAACATCAGTTGTAGAAGCGTTTTTTTTTAAAACAAACGAACCTAGCGCACAGTAGAACATATTTATTGAAAGATACTGCATGTTTGAACTACTTAATGTCCTGTTAACGACGCCACAAAATGGCTGTCGATATTTTCTCTTTTTCTTTTTGAAACACTCATTATTTGGAAGCAAAAGAACCCGTATATATCTATGCTGCTATCACATAACCATCCCGAGCATGCTATCACATAACCAGCTCTGTATATAGTTATAATAAGCCCGTGATGGTTTTATGTAACCATAATTCAAGCGATAAATATCTTATATTGTCTTGAAAAATCAAGTGTGGGTAAAAAAAGCCCAAAAAATAATTATGCTCACATATACAACTGTGTTGGATATCTCCAAAAATTATTACTTTGATGTTAAGGGAAAGGGATTTCACATATTTTTTTTATTTCTAATATACTTTGGCATAATTGTTTCGGCATATTTTTTGCATAATGACAAGAAGAGAACAAACAGAGAGATTGAAAAATAAAATGAGACTGTTACTATTATATTTCGTAGTGGTAATAAATTCTGTTTCTTAAAACAAGTAAATATATTCACCTTTTCCATTTCTGCTGCCAGTTTGACCTTCATAGTCTCTTGAAGGATAGGGAACTTGAGTTTCCAATCGGCAACTGTCTTGCTGCTCTTCGAGAGCACCATAGCAATTCGCTCGATATCGGACATATTCACTCGAGTCTCCCTGAAACATGGTTTATAATTGATTTGCGAGATGAGAGGTAAAAAAGGGAAATGTAATTTCTTGTAAGAGCATATCATCATTATTTACAGTTTTAACTACAGGCGTCATAAGTAAATGTCACATCTTTATATTGCATGTATAACCGAAATATAATTTAATTATCGATCATTCCTACGTATACTAAAGTAACTGTATTTAATAACAAAATTATTAATTCTAATTACATACTTTATTTGCATGTCAATGGAAAATTTTCTTTCGCGGTTGATTTTTTCATATATTTTATATGTGTACCTGTTGGCCGCTTGACCACGAAGGCGTTCGACGGTAGCTTCTAGTTCATACAAATCGTTTTCGAGCAGCAGCATGTCCTGACGGTAGATCTCTTCTTCTCTTGTAAGTTGCTAAGCGACGAGAAATAAGTAATGTCAATGGGTACATTTTTTGGATTAAAAATATGAAAGCCATCTTGGAATAGAATAACTGGTTGAATGCATAAATATGTAGCTATATTAAATGTACAAATTTTCACGACAAAAGTTTAAGAAATATGCAATTTACGGTTAACAAACTACCCGTTCAACTTATATCCTCATTTTCATTGCATAAGAAATAAAATAATATCATAATTAATCAACGTACCGAATCAGGATCCTGTTCACAGAAGCTTGCTGCGATGGCGCCTATTTGCACAATGGTCTCTGCCATCATCTGGCGCATTTGAATGGCCTGCGCCAGAGTCGATCGACGCAAGTTACGTGTCTGCGAATCAAATCAGAATATTCTAACCAAAGTATACGAAATTTTAAAATCATTATTCAGTAATCAGTCGCAGGCGCTTTATAGTTCGCATCCAGCTCAAAATACAATCGCATTAGTTCTATATCAGGTTGTTAATTTCACATCTATTATCGTGTTCTTCAGCATTTTAGTCGTACACTAATTCTAGGTGATCGGAAAATCTTCGGTGCAATGGTTGAGAACGAACCGATGGAAAAATTCTAAAGAACGCCGATAGATGTCATTGACTCTCAAAAATTACTTACTTCAATTCGTAAATCGCGGCTTTGTTTCTGTAAAATTCGCAGCTGATTGAAGAAGTCTGGTGTCACGTTGATAGTGTAAGTTCGCTGAGGTACCAACGCCAGCTGTTGACCGACAAGGCCAGCGGGCTTGGGTGGTGGTGCCGGCTTATGTCGATCGCGTTCTGAAATTATAAACAAGAAAATATGCAATTGTATAATCTAATCCTAGTTTTACCCCAGATAAAAAAGTTTAAGCCGCTATCATAATTGACACCATGTTTAAATAAGCAATATATCTGATTATAATGCCAAGCTCGTTTACCTTTGGTGTTTTTAACTGTATGTAAGCCTTATAGATTTTTCCAAGTAAAAATCGGTTAGTAGAAGACCAATACACCGTGGATAAAGATAGAGTTCCCCAAGCATTTTACATCCACTGGCATAAACACATTGATTCGAAAGCACTCAAAAACATTGTAACTGAACACCCTAATTAATTTACACCAATATCAATTGATAACAAAAAGTTACCTTGCGACGAAGTCCGTGGCAATGTCGATGATTTGATTGCCGGTTTTGTTGGTTTTGTATCAGCTTGTTATGGCAAAGAAGTAAGCGGAAAGAAATCAAATATAAGAATTATGAACATGGTTATGGTATTAACTACAAGAATGATAAGACAGAGTCGCAGAAAGGATTCAATTCAACCGTGTCCAAGAATCAAAAGACAATTCAATATCGTTTCATTCTTGGTCAATATTATACTATTCTATAATTTATGGAAATCATGATGCTAACATAATAATGACATAACAAAATAATTTATTAACTCACGTCGGATGTGAATATGATGTAAACATGAGCACATGACAAGATATTGTTGTAAAAACTCATAATTAATATGACTGTCGGCAAAAGGGTGGCTTGGAAATTCTGAATATTTAACAAAGAAAAAGTAGGGCTGTGGCAAACACAAACCTAAGTAAGGTTATACAAAAAATAGTCCCTTAAGTATGCAAGTAAAACAATTAAATACCCGACTCGTCAACATGGCATTCTTATTGTTGAAAAAGGTATAATATATATTTAATGCACTCAATTCATTCATTGAATCATATTATAAATAACATTAATGATATTTGAGTACGTTATTCTAGATCTATGGGAGCATTCACTAATATACAAAATTATTTTTAACATCCATCACCAGTTTCAATTACCATCTAGATCTACGAAAAAGTATATTGTGTCTTAAAATAACAATCCACAGGTAAGGAGGGATACTTTTAGAAGGAATTTTAATTAGATAATGTCCAGTCAAATGCATACCTGAGTGCTGAGGCGAGTGTTGTTTGGGGGAGTTCATGTCAGGTGGATCATCGCTAAATGATACCGATTTCTCAAAGGACACTGACTTCTCTGAAATCACAAATATTCAATGTCAATCATGTATGCGTTCACGATGGAACGCTTATCTATAACTTAACTCAGCATACAGACTAAGGAAACATCACGATACCGAAAGATTATATACAAAATTTATATCTCTGAAAGTGGCTTACGGTGCCAGTGTTGAAAAATTTAAGTGCACTTGAATACATTCGAGTCGGTGATATCTAGAATTAGGTTTAGAAAATTGGGAATGTGACGAAGACAGCTAAAACTGAGTCGATAGTGAAACAATAACGGCACCCACAGGAATACTATTAGAAATTCCAATTTTATATGTAAGGTGGCAAGACTTAAGTGTACAAGCAGGTCTTATGACAGAAAAAAAATATTCAGAAAAATTGTGTCGATAAAATATAGCAAAATTTTAAAGTGCTGTAAAGTAAAATTATTCCTATCGTTGAAAAGGGAGATCATCCACAGGGAAATAAAGTAAATGAAATGATTACACTGTGGTTGTGACGGTTTAGTGTAATAAGTAGTGTTACAAACACAATAAGATATATTATCACGCAAAGAAAAAAGTTTTGTAAACCTATGCTTCTACAGATTATATACTAGATTTTTAATGTTGTTATGCAATGTAAAATGATTAAATGATCACGAATTCATCTACTTCTTCAGCAATGATTGACTAATTTGGTAAGCCTCAAATACTACCCTAATGAAAAATGCAAATGTAAGAATTTATAACACTTTTCAGCTGAAACACAGCGACCAAAATTGATTTTACACAAATTATAATGATCTCTTAAGCGATTGTATAAAAATACCTGATGCGATGAACTCGTTTCTGATAGTGAACTATGAGTGATTTCCAACCTAGTAAAACTGTTTAATAAAGCTAAAAAAATAAGAAAAATCGCGCCTTTCACATAGCAAGCCAATTGCGTGAAAATGGAGACAACGAAGTGCATTGCGAATGTCTTAGTCTGAGAAGAGATCCGTTTTTTAATCCATTATAAGCATAAAATTTGATTCACACTTGGTGTTGGCTAAGTGAAAGTGTTCCTTTTTATGGTTAGTACAGTACCGTGTGCGGAAGCACCTACCTACAGCCTATCTAATGGTTGGGCTCAGGCAATTTTCCGTTCAGTAATAGATTGTGGTATTGCATACAATTTGCGGTTCTGACTACCCACTTCGGGAACGGTTGCACTCATCATGTCAAGCAACACAACATTGTCAATAAAAAGCGTAATAAAAACTGAGAATCAAGTTATCAATGTACATAATTTCACTAAATAAGACATCAACACAAAACACGAACAAATTCAGACATTAGCAATGCATTATCGCTTCAACGGCCGCTTTCAAATACACTTACGAAATTTATCTCTCCCTAATTTGGGAGGTCTCTCGTTGCTGGCAAATCTCGCGGCATCTGAGTGCAGGAAAACGCAAGCTACATTATCGATCAAGCCTCCCATAACAAGCCGGTAGAACTATTTCAATAACTTTTTCGAAGAAACTATTCCGTATATTGTTTTATTTTTTTCTACAAATAACATTTAGACAAAACAGATGCATTAAGAATTTAGAATTTTGACAGGTAAAATTTGTACATAGGGGAAAAACTACATTATAATGTGGCAACTGCATCGGACTTCGACGTTCAAATGATAGATCGTGGTTTTTAATGGACATACCCTGATTGTTAGGGCGGGTGGGGAAAGTATTGAACTCCTGACGTGGCGCAACAGCTGGCGCGGCGGAGGGGCCAGGAACCTGCAAGGCCTTCTGTACAAGGCCCGTCAGGTTGGCCAATTGTCGCTCCATCTTCTCTACACGCAACCGCTGGATATCATCCACCTGAGTATTTAGCCTGAAACATTCCCAAATAAAAACAATCCCTTTTGCGTCCACAAGAGTGATTGTTTCATTTCGATCTATTAATAATTTTATCCTTGTTTTCTTTTATAATGTACGTAACTGAATAAATTCGCTTATGCTAATCGCTCAGCCTTGTAATAAGATTATTTATGTAATAACAATTAACACATTATAGTAGTAAAAATAATTTATTCGTTGTACGTTAAAATAGTCATAATTGTTATTTTGATTATATTATTGATCAAGGAAGTATTGTGGCCACAATATCGCAAAGCAAACAAATATTAGCTGTTCTTCATCGTGACCGAAATATATTTATAACATTATCCCAAAAGAACTTATTATGTTACCTGGCGTCGTAGGGAGGTCGCGGCATAGGTCTGGGTGCGGAAGTTATGGCATTAATACTGTACATCTGGTAGGCATCATCAATGATCATACCGTCGCTAAAATTAAAGGTTTCACCAAATTACATGATTATCCATCCATCAAATCCGTAAGATTAAGCAAAAGCTTTTTATAGACCACCGTACCTTGCTTCTTCATCAATGACTGGAGTGATGGTTGACCTTCCTGGAGTAGGACCCAGAAATTGGGTGTAATATGGTTCTTCATATGGCGCCCTGGCAGCAGCACGTTCAGGTGAAGACATGTAGCCTTCACTGGCATGCCCTAAAGCACGAAGATATTACTGTTTATAAATACCTCATAAAACAATCTATGAATTTACATTGGAACTAGGTGGTCTGGTAGGCCAAGAACTTCATATTACACACAGTACTGTATACATATTCTAAAATAATTCATAGAATTAATAGATTATCAAAGTACCAAACACTCTAGTTCTCATTTAATATATCATACACAATGAGCTACGACAAAGTTTTCGTGTTGAACATTTTGAATAATATTAAAAAGCAGAATTGTAAAACTGAAGTTACATATTAATGCGAAATCAATTTTGCATAATGAATTTTGAAAATAGAGATCAATCGGTCAATTTTCATTCGGAAAATAGGATCAATAATAGAAATATTTAATAACAAGCATGCATACATTTTTTTTATTGTTAATATAATACATAAAATATCATACAATACCTTTGTCATTTTATATAGATACAGTGTCAGACAGAAACCATAAAATTAGCGAGAGAAAATATTGTCGCTTTCAGAAATATATACGACGAAATTGTCCCGATCATAATTATTCGGTAACACCGAACAGCAGTTCTGTTTTGGAATCAGGGATTGAATTTAAAACCAATTAATTGTGGGATCATAAATAAACAAACGTGCATTCGTTAGCACAACATTTAGAGTTGGTAGACAATAAGCGTCAAGCAAATTAAGTTTTGAAGCGAAAGTAAGTGGATTCGTACCCACTTACTAAAGGCAAAGGTTACCAGGGATAGTGTAGAGTTGATCAGCGCCGCGTGGGCATTCCGGAGTGAAGGGGAAACAGCGATCGGACCCACTGCCCGGGATGTAAGCTCGCAAGGGCTTGATTGGCGCCGGGGGACCTAAACACACACTGCTCTGTACCCATCTACTCCTAAGTCAAGCCCGGCTCAATGTACTACCTTTCTACTACGAGATGTATGCACGAACGATAAATTGCCTCGTCACTTCCGATATGGGTTTATGTTTTTAGCTGTGCATAGATTTGTAAATGAGTTATTGGTGGCTCGCTAGACACTTTTTCATATGTGTTTAATCAAAAGTCAGTGTAATATTTATCGTGATGTCGTCTATAAGACTGCCGTCGCCGTTAATTTTAGATATAATTTTTCACTGTTATGATTAGAAATAGTGTACATATTGTTATTGGATATCATTAAATAAGTAAGTTTAACATTGATTTGTGACATATCGGCATTTTTTTACAGCATTTCCTTTGGCTTACGATCAATATGAATATCAATTCTTTGCATATTTCATAACAACACCATCCACTTAGTTTCTAGATCCTTATCAGTTTCTAAACGGCACAAAAGTGATGATTTCTGAATATTTCAGCTGTTGAAGAATATCCATAATATCAATCATCATAGGTGTATGTACGAGTATATACCCAGAGAAAACTACTAGGTATATCGGATCTATGTTACAGTGATAAAAATCAAACCAGATACAATTGGAGTTTATTTATTTCTTTATTAAACAATAATTTTATAAGAATGGCTTAAAGTTTTTTCTTTCCTAATCCAATGGACTTGGCTGTTCCGTTTCCAAACCTGTGTGTACTTTGCTACTAGAACCGCAACCTGTGTTCACTCAGAGCTAATTGATTTGGGTGTTGACCCTGAATGAGTATGTTTTATTATTTACCTGACCCAGGTAGGGTCTTTGCACGGTCGGCGGGCACCGGTGGGGCGGCGGGAGAAAAGGCTCGTAACATGGACCCCCCGCGAGGTAAAGTGCTGGGTGCCTGGTTTCCGATGTAATATGCCGGGGCTTTCACCTGTAAAAAATTAAAATCTCCATTAACCAATTTAAAAAGGCCTTAAAGTACTCGTGATAAATCAATCTGCCTCTCTCTATTAGTGAAGAACTCAATTTGCATCAATACTAAAGCGGCACTAACCATTATACTTTGGATTTTAATAATTTATCATGTGATAAAATTTTTAAATCTCATGTTATATTCCCTGAATCTTTTACTAAATTACGCAACGGATTTTAATGCTGCTCAAGGGAAATTCTTGAGGGACATTCACCATCCGTTCGAAGCAAGATCGGGTCGGTACTATTTTATAATATTTAAAACTAGCTACTTTTTCGCGACTTCGGCCATGTAATTCATAGCCTACGTCACCCGTGTATGTGGTAGCTCCTCGAAAGTAAAAGAATTTTCATAACAGGTTCAGTATTTTCGAAAATTACCCCTACAACCAATCAGTGTCAAAGATAGCTAAAAGAATAATCATCTCTTCCTTCAAGATCACAATGAATGCCTAAGTAGTGAAAACGTATACTATTTATCTGAATCATTTACGGTTATTATATCATGGAATAAATAGAATTCATGTTATTATAATCACATCAACAATGTAAGAAATTACTTTGTGGTTTACAAACATTGTATAGTAACAACAACAGACGTCGCAACACGGGGAAATATTGTCAGTGATCACAGATATTCCGAAGAAAGCACTTTTATACGTATCGGTTACAGTGGCACAAAAACACAATATCCAATAACAACAGGTTATAGTAAGGATCCAAATTCGTTTGACGATAGAGAAAATTAATTCCTAATGATGGTTTGGACTTCAGTTATAATATTTTTGACTGCAGTGATTGTAACCAGTGCTATCAATCGACCAGTATATAAAGTTGTACTAACACAAAAGGGATACACTCAGGTAAAAGTTGTCATATAAACGTACTTTTGGAATTTGAATGATATTTCAAATGTCTTTTTTAAGAATACATCCTCTGAAAAGCTTTATTAATGAATTTTATATTTTTTAGGTAAAAGAACTTTAATAATAAAAATACATTAACATTTTTCTTCAACAAAGAGATTAAAGAGAACATTCTTTTAGACTCCTACTTTTCATTTTATTGTATTCCTGATATTAGAATTTTGTTAAAACAAGAAAATGTCTAGAGACGAAATCCAATTACTAGGAGGTTTAGTCCGAAGCAATGTAGGTTATTTTGTGTTTGAGAATAAAAACTATTTACACAATAAATAACAATGCTCAACAATTTCACTCCCGTAAGCTTTTTAAGTAGTATTATTGATTTTAAGTTCTAAAATTAAATTATATTTTTTTGTACCTAAAGATTGTACTAAAATATTCAAGATAAGTAAATGGAGGCTTTCTTGTCTAGTTACTAAAGACAAACAACTGTCATTAATCAATGTTCTTAAATGTAAATTGACGATGAACTTTACTTGATAATGTTTTGTGATGATCAACAAAGATTTATTTATCAGGTTTTAATGATTCGGCTTAAAGTTTGACATGAAAACTAAATGTAGTGAGATTAACAATAGAATGGTGTGTGATTTACAGTTTCTACAATACGACATAGATACACCACCATTGAGAGAGTTCACATTTTGTACTTGGATTCGTTCATACGACCTTGAAGCTGAACAAAGTATTTTCACATACGTAGGTGAGTATAAAATATGTTTAATTTTAACGAAATTGATTTTATTTCATAACAATAATTATCATCATTCAGATGAATATGATCTTATCATAGATTTTGCAAACAAAATAATAAGCGAGTGAAATACAATATGTCACATAGAATAATAATGAACATTGATAAAAACGGTAAAGAAATTGAAACTTACAAAAGAATAATATTGAGTAAATGTTATTGCGTCGTCGAAATTCATGTGACCCCCTTAAATTTGAACCTGTTTCAGTGGCTACGGCGTTGCATAATAAAGTTACTTTTAAATTCTGCCAACATAAATTTCAATATCAGCTGCTGAAGGACAAGCGAGTCTCGAAACCTTCAATTATAAAATTTAGTACATTGACTAAGTTACTACCAAGTCCTTTAATTGATTCGCTTAAAAGTTTGACACAACACTTCAAGGATAGCACTATTCGGAAGATATTGCCAAATGTTCATTAACTTGATTTTTAGAGATATTTAGTAATGCAACTACGACCACCAATTTCCTCAAATGTAGACAAAGCACTGGCGACCGTAGTCCATGCCACGGTTCCCTGGCTGCTCATCGTATTTAACGCTTCATCAAGTTGGATGGGGACTATAGGCTTTAACCGATTACTGTTCGCTCGAATCACAATAGGTCTTCACTCACATAAATCTCCTCCATACCTTTCCCTTTATTATCTAATCAATCACCGAAGAGGTAACATAAACATATGTTGTCATCTCATTTGTCATTTATACCAATTGAAATGATATAAATATTTTTTTAAAATAGAAGGTTATTTCTTTCAGCGAATGGAAATAGCCGCGTCCTAAGACTTTGGTTGGACTCCGGTGGACAATATTTGATGTTGTCTATTAATGGGAAGATAACTTCTGAAATCCCTGTAGATATTGCTAGAGACGTCTGGAGGCATGTTTGCCTCTCCTATCAATCAGATTACGGAGCTTGGGCTGTCTACGTGGACTCCAAACTATTTTTATGCGAAAGCAATGATAAAGTGAGTATGTTTTAAGTCAAAGTTATAAGTTTATGCTTTAGAATTATTTGAAGTGAGATATTAAAGTAGACAAATGACCGCATAACTTGTTGCGCTGTGAGGTCAATGTGTTCACGACTTTTTAATACAGTGATTATCATGTGATGAATCGATATGGACATTCATTACGAAATTAGATCTCGAAAGTAAAGACAAGGCTGTCGCATACGTACTCAATCCGTATGCAAAATCCCTTTCAAAATCTTTATGGTAACCTCAGGGCAAGTAATGCCTTGACAGTTTTTTCTACATAACTATGTAATAAAATAACTCTGAGTTGCCTAATTTTTTTTTTATTTTGTTAAATGTAGATTAATATTAATAAGACGAATGAATCGATTTTATTTTATTGTAATGGATAGAATGACTCAAATTATGTGAGTATAGTTAGATATAATTAACTTTTCTTCAGCGAATAAATGGATATCGTTAATTTTGTTAACAGCTCTATAATGTAGTGATTAGCGCATTTGATCTGCAATGCGGAAATTAAGAAACTTTCGTTGGGGTTGGTTATATGATGAACAAAAATTTTATATCATGAGCTCCTCCATCCTTTGGAAGGCACGTTAAAAAGCCGGTCGCGGCTGTTTCCGTAGTCGTTAACACCCACCTAATAGCACTGGACCCGCGTACTGGATCTTAGCTCATTCTCCTTATTCAATTCAATTCCATCCACGGGGAAGACTTGTGCTCCAACAGTGGGAGAGGGGACATTAGTAGACTAATGAAGTTTTTTACTAGGCGTATCTGTAGATTTTGATTCTAAATTACATTCAAGCAAAAAACTTTATTTCAGCTTTTTAGTTATGTTTTACCTGGAGATGGAAGCGTTATTATTGGATATGGAACTACAGACAATGGTAATATGTTGTCACCAATTTATAACAAATGTATTTCGTAGCTTATTTAACATTTAAATTGTAATACATATTTTTCAGGAAAACCAAGCGGATTTGAAGGGGAGATGTTCGGTGCCAATATGTTATTAGCATCAACAATTGACAGAAACCATTCCGTATCGTTTGATTATTATGACCCAAGATCTATGAAAAATAATCGAGTCAAAGAAAGAGAAAGAAATACTAAATATGTAGTTTTCAGTGACTTACAGACTGATGAAATCCATAATAATTTCGAAAAAGCAATAACACCACCAACAAATAAAAGTAAAAGTTTCATAAAAATTAATACACTTCATAGTTCTGTCGATCATGATGTGGGTTTGGAGCACACAACTATGAAAGTAAAAACTTTCGATTTATCGAATGAAAAAGAGTTTTTGGATTTTCCACCAAGTTTTCACACAACTGAAAAAAGTACTAATACTTTTTGGAATACTGCGAATGATGCAGGAGGTGAAGGAAAATTTCAATTTAAAAAAAATGAAACACCTAGCAATGAACTACCAATTACTTACACGAAAGAGATAACCACACTATCTGAATATGAAACACCGCCGCCACCACCACCCCTAGTACCGAAACCTTTTCATACTATTAATAATAATTTTAATGAAGACAATATTGATTTCAAGAAATACTTCAGAAAAAAGGGCTCTGATATTTTACCTACTGCAGAAACACCTCCACCCTCCCACAGAGATAACAAAGTTTATGGCCAATGGACAAGTTCTAAATTTGCTGGAAGCGTTTTAAATTATTTGAAAAGTATAAATTTCCATAATCGCGAAAAAAAAGTTCCTATGTCATTTCCAAAGACATCAGACAGTTATCCTTATGCATCCGACTTTAAAGTTACTAAAATCAGGCCATCCGTACAATTTCAAAGAAAAAACTTTATGGATCATAGAATCAGAATACATAAACGAGGTATCTCTGAAATGCCAGAGGTAAATGTACAAATATTAGAAGATGATATAAGATCAGAAATATTGAAAATGCACGCAATAACAGAACCTAAGAATGTTGAAATTACGAATAGAGGTGAATCGCAAAAACATATGGAACATAGATTTTACAGAAATGTCAACGGTGAACCTACTTCTGTGGAGAATTCTGGTAGTGTTGAAGATATTTATAAGCCACGGCCCTTTTCAGCGCAAGTTGATAAAATGGAAAAGAATAAAATTTTATCAGATTTAGAAATATATAAAAACCACAATCTAATGTCGATACTTCCTTTTCTTAAATCATTGGAATATTTTGTAGAAGATCCATTTAATAAACTGCAGATAAAAGAAAATGTCGAACGAAGTAGTGACATGTATACAAAAAGTTTATCAAACGGAAATAAATGGCATAATATTAAATCATATAATAACGATTATACGCCTAGACGTATAAATATAGATTCTAGTGATGGGAGCAGCAACGTTGATGTTGACATAGCTGATTTTAACAGAAAACATCCTTCTTTGAAGTTAAGATATAAACACCACAAAAGAAAATATACAACAACGAATGAGCCAAACATATTAAAAGGTAGACACCTTGCAATGCTTGTATCGAACCAATCAAGTCCAAACCAAGAATCCATATCTATTATTAACTATAATCATGGCCACCTTCCACCACACAAATTAAAAGCGTTCGGGAAATTAAAGGGTGCTACAAAGGCAAACTCCAAATATAATCAAGTAAACATTAAAGGTAATTTCAATAAACAAGTTAAACTTGGCAATGCGTTAAATGAACGTGATGTCATTGGCTTTAATGAAGAGCAAAAAAAGCAAAGCTTTGAAGGAGGGAACGAGAAGGTTCCTGATATAAATCGATACAGGTCCGATATCGACAACGAAAATACTAACGCACCATCTTCATTGAAAGCAAAAACATGCATAAATGCTATATCCAATAATCGTGCATTATACATTCAACGAGATGAAAGTATTACTATTTCGCATATTGTTTCACCAGTTAGAAAGAAAAATGTCGCTATAGAATTCATAAAATTAAATTATAACCAATGTTCTTTGGAAGGTTCCAGTTTTGAAAAAAGCGTCTTGCTTTTCATAGATTGGAGAAAAACGCCCGTAAGACTGTTTGGAGGAGCTCAACCGAAAAGAACAACTGACCTTTGTGGTTTCTTCTAATGCATATTTTACAATTAATATAAGTTATATACTCTAAAGAAACTTAGTGTTTTATTGCTATTAGCTTTATTAGTTCCTTTATTTTTTTGTTTTAATAAATAAACTAAAAAACTACTGATTTTAGATCCTTCCACCAATAAAAAGTTTATTAGTAAGGATTATAGACTAAGGTAACTAGTTTGTATCATAGCTTATTTTATTATTTATTTACTACAGGTTTTGCTAGTAAAATTATTTATTTCTCATAACAAAGTACTTAAATTAAAAGATATGTATACTAACATTATAAAGAAGAAAGCTTTCATTCTTTGTATTCAATAAGGTCCTAAAGTACTAGATCGATTATTAAAATTCTTTCACATACGGAAAGCTACTTCATACGCGGGTGGCAAAGGCTATAATTAAGAACCCAAATTTTATAACCGTAATGGCTGCACATTTGGTTGATTAGGTTAGTTTATGAAATGTTAGCAAAAGCTAAGGTCGCTTATATCGAAAATTTGCTAGGATGCAGCAATATGCAATTTTGCATAACTAAAGTTTATTTTTAGAAGAAGTAAAAATGCTAATATTTTTGTTTATTAAATAAATGACAAAAAATCACATACAAGTATAGCGGTCAGGATTTAATAATGTTCCACTTTATGTTGTTTTTATAAGGGTTTCGAAATAAAAATAATCTTTTTTTTTAATAGAAATTAACGTTCTAATTCTAAGCGACTGACGACGTTACCGGAATATACGCTGCCGTTTGGTATTTTTAGTGAGTAATCGTTGAGTGCATCGATACAAACATGGATATAGGCACTTATGTAAAAAAAATTCTCCCCCTCCCTTAATAAATTAAGGTTTGAAATGGAATGGGGAAATTTGTATATAGTTTTGTATAGTATGGTGTTACATGCTTTCTCATATTTTTAAGTTTCTTGCAGACTGAGCAGTAATGCTTATCATAAATTGCTATCAATCCAGCAACATGCTCTATGGTAAATTATTCCTTTCATTAGAAAGAGATATCAAATCAATCTTAATGCCGTCCTATGTGCCATCACGTAAGCCCAATGTAGTTCCGCCTTATACACATATGATACCAATTTCGTAATCATTTAAATGAAGTTTGATAATTCGCAATGCAATTTACAAGTATAATATTACGAATGTTTATGTAACACGTAACAAGATTTTGATACAATTTGCTTATTACTTGTGTAAAATAATTAATTTCAAGCATTCCGATCCAAACCAGTTTATTATGACTGGTCAACCACTACCAGATAGTGATATGTATTTTTTTAGTGCTCTTTGTTTGGAACTTGTTATATTTAATTATTTCTTAAGTGTTTGCAAATTGGCGTCCTTTTTATTCATAAAAAATAATACTGTTAAATGATTTATCGTTAAATATAAAATAAAAAATCATATAAATAAAATACAGGAGAAACATGTAACCTGCAATTTACTATACTAACATGGTATCAAAACAACAAATCAAGCCATTACATTACTATACTAACATGGTATCAAAACAACAAATCAAGCCATTACAAAAGAGAATTTGGGAAATATGATCTATTATACTATTCTGTTACGTTCGCCCCGTTAAGCACCGTCCATTGGAGTGTAGTGTAACGACGAAGAGACGTTAAATTAAATACAGTGTCGATAATTTCCGCAGCTCCTCTCTGCCTCGTATGTCACTCTTAAGCTGAGTTTACATTTGTTATATTATAATACATCGAAAAGGGAGTTCCACATTAATTAGAAAATGGAAAACGACGAAAGAAATTATTATTTTAAAATATCATTAGAGATACTTATGTTTTTTTTTCAAAGACGAACTTTATATTTTCAAAAATTGTTAAAAAATACTAGTTTTGCGAACTGACACATTACACATTTGACTAACATGTCCCGAATGAATATAATGCACAAAATTCTTGTTCGAAAATTGAAAAAAATTAACGATTCTAAATCGACGTTTTGCGAAACTCTTGGGTCTAATTTTAGGGTTCTGTACCCAAAGGGTAAAACGGGTACCCTAATACTGACACTTAGCAGTCTCTCTATCTGTCTGTTATCAAGCCGTATCTCATGAAGCGTGAAAATTAAATAGTTGAAATTTTCACAGATAAAGTATTTCTATTGCCGCTTCAACAAAATATAATAAAAACCCCTTAAATATTTAAATAAAATAAATATTTAAGGGGGCTTCCATACAACGACCGTGATTTTTTTGCTCCTTTTGGGTACCCTTCGTGTACGGGTCCGATTCGCACTTGTTCGGTTTTTTTTTAATAAATACAGAAAATAATTATTTAATAGATCACACGAAAATCTAGAAGACGTTTATGGTCTTTTAAATTTGATATTTGTAGGTACATAAGTCTGATTAGCATTGGTCTGTGTTTGTAACTATTACTTTACTTTATATTTGCTGGTGGGTGTTATTTGTATTTATTTCAGCATAAGCAGTAGCTTATAATAAATGTAATAAATCGACATCGCGATCGTCGAAGCTGTAAAACATAATATCTAAACTTAGCTTTATATTAACATTGATTGACCCTTCCTCGTCCTCTACTCCCACGATATTAAAAAACACATATCCAACATTGATTTTAGCGCCTTCTATCTATAAATTTTCAAGTTTAATACTTAAGTAATCACTGTCTATTATTCGCGAAAGAACATCAAAGTATTTCCACTGTATGTATGCGAAAATTTCTGGAATGTTTTGGTCAAATTGCTCGCAAAGACGCAGATAACCTGGACCATCTTGTAGTGACAAGCAAGGTGGATGGGAAACGACGGAGAGGTCGCAGTCTAACGAAATGATCCGAATCTGTACTCATAAAATGGAGATTATTCTTAATGTCGATTTAATGTATTTTTAATATCATAAATAGAATATGATGCAGTAGACGATAAATCGAAAATTGGTTTTGAGAGTACCACTCCAGGACCTTTAAGAAAATTCATTATGCACTCCATATTACTAAAGATAAGAACAGATAGAGAAACGTAAAGACGATAAAGAATAGGAAAACTGTCTTACCATCGAATAAATCACGACCATCAGTAATGAAGACACACCAAAAGCACCTTTAAAACTCTAAAGTACTAGGTGTACGGATAAACCAAACTTGGTCGTGCATATTTCATACAAATATGCACTTTCGACTAAAAAAACGAGTCCATAAAAGATTCGGTATTGCTAATTTGACCTGATCTAGTTAATTTTTTTTTTTTACATTTAAGGCGACTTTCAAATTATGTAATGTAATTTATAAGTACATTTCAACAATTGACATATATATATATTTGGACTTAAACGTTTCTCAATAGGTAACATTTGTTGTAAAGTAAATTTACAAACCCTTTAGATTGAGCATTAGTTTATTACTTAATTTTATTGTTTCAGAAAATAATAGATACAAGTAAGTTAACTTATTTTCACATATAAAAAAATCTCCGCTTGTATAGTTCAGTATGTGATAAATCAGATACATATCTGTCACCCACGTCTTCATCATCATTATCATCATCACTATTAATGTCCCAATGTTGGGGGACAGGCATTGGGAAATTGGACTATGATCCACCACATATGCTAGGTATCAACGACCGCAGATGTATCCGGGACTAACGGCTGAACGTGTCTTCCGAAGTTCGAGATAATAAATTTTGGTCATCCATCCTATGACCGACCCCAGCGAAAGTTGCTTAGCCTCTGTATCGCAGACTGAATATGTTAGCCATTTTGCCATCGAGTTCCTTGTTATTGAAGGGAAATAATTGAAGATGTTTTTGAGATAGAAAATGTCCTGTGACACACGTGTGACACTATTCAAGTTATCAATATCTCCACATAAAAAATCGTATAGTAACAGTGATTCGTTACGACGAAAAAGAAGGACAAACACAGACCATCCCATTTGTAATGTTAGTACGGATAAATATCATAGGTAAAACAATGTTATAACATTGGTGGGAGAGCCAATTAACGAACCTAATTCTTCAGACCGATGAAATAAGCCGAGATAATTGAAATGTCGCCATGGTTTAAAATTACCAAGCTTCTGATGACTGCTTCATTTCAGACGAATAATAGACCCTGTAATTAATTTCCAAATTCGAGTAAAGAGCTGGTCGTATTAAAAAATTAAGCAACATGTGAAATTTGGGATGAAGACAAATATCAATTACGAATTTTATTTATCAAAGCATACTTTCGATGCAAGACATATCCTATTAATATTGAACTAAATTTTTATAAATTATCAATTTAGAATTTTAACTGGCAATTATTTTGAGTTTCAATATTTTTATTCTTTTATCAAAAACCATTTGAACTGTCACCAATAATACAAATTAATGCATTCGATCCAGCCAACGCAGTAGTAGCGAGTGATTTTTCAACCGACTTCAAATTCGCAATGAAGAAGCTTTTTTATATGTTCGGCGGCGTTATTAGACAGCTTATTCAACGTTTTATTTGATCGAGCGTAGCTTGATTTTTTGCATAGAAATTACTCTCTTATTACAACACTATCTTCAGAGAATTATGGAAACCAACATAGTATTGTGATCTAGATCTTGTGCAAGGTTTGCGTGATTATATGATGTCTATGTTGATGGAAGATGGTAATGGGATTTCCTGTCAACACTAACATTTTAAAAACTTATTCTTTAATTATATTTTAATTGCAACGTATTAAAGTTACAATTATTAAATGCATTTCAAAATATATAGTGCATGCAATCATGGTTCGTGTTATAATTTACTTACTGTGTATAATGGAATGTTTTTACTCAACAAATTTAAGACTACAAATAATGAAAAGCAGGTTCTTTTCATGATTATGAAAGGAAATAATTCATGTAAGTTTGAATATAACTTGGCAATAATCATATATTAATCACGCATGTCAATAATAATAACTAAAAGTTTTTTTATTTAATATTTGAAATTGCAAACGACAGCATACGAGATTTATATT